GACAGCTATCTTGAGCTAAATGTTTCCAAGACAAAAGGAGCTTGTGAAAGATTTTAGTAAATATGATAGAAAGCTGCGACCCATTTTTATACATGGAAAAGAGGTAGAAACTGTGGATTCATATAAATATTTTAGGAACCATATTTGATTCTAAACTAAAATTTGATGTGAACACTGATTTCATTTTGAAACAAGGGCAGCAGAGATTTCACTTGCTGAGGAAGTTAAACTCTTAATATTCGTAAGGAGATTTTATGTAACTTTTATCAGTCCTTTATTGAAAGTATTTTAACATTTTCTTTTGTTTGTTGTTTTGGTGGTTTGTCTGTGAAAGCCAAGAACAGCCTTCAGAGCATTGTCAAGGTGTGCTCCAAAATAAYTKGGGTCCAGCAGAGGGACCTGCAGTCCCTGTGGGAGAAGCAGGTGCTTCGTAAAAGTAAGGAGATAGTGTCACAGCAGGAACATATTCTGTCCTCTGAATTCATATTGATGCTTTATGTTACCATGCMGYAAAACAAACAGGTTGTCCTATTAATTTGTTCCCTCTACAATTAGGCTGTTTAATCGAATGGCTGTACACAACCCTGAGTWATTCTTGCRACTTCATCACAGAGCGGTTAAATTTTGATGTGCAGCTKTTTGATTTGTTTGTTGAACAATGTATTRTAATTAATGTTGTGTTATTTTTCCTTTCTTTTCTCCTCTTTCCTTCTTCTGCATAAGCATTTGTGTGCAAGTGCAAATATGTGTGAACCTGGAACTGCTGAACTGAACTGCCCTTGCGGATAAATAAAGTTGTCTGAATCTGAATCTGAAATATCGTGAAATGTTGGCACTCAGAAATATGTTGGTACCAAATTTCCAGCTCAATTTTAGTTACATTTGCTGAGTTTGATTTAAGCTGTGGCTGCCACCTTGAATGATGTTTGCTCCAAATGTCAATCAAAAGATGTACAGCCAAAGATTCCTCCCCCACAGCCAGCCAGTGGTTAATGGCAAATTTTGCGAACACACAAACACATTTAACAGATCACTTACTACTATAAAAAAGGTAGAGGGTTARGTTACATTTTTTTGCTTTACAGTTGTACAACATATTACATTTTCCACCTTTGGAATTCCTCCTTTTTGGTAAAAATCCCATTTATTTTATTGAATCCAGTTAGTTTTGTTCTAAAACCCAACAGCTAAAAGACATTATGCCCTTCTGAGCATTTTGCGTGCTAAMAAACCAAAAGCAGATGTCTGCCTGATGTTAATTAACATTCTGCGACAATGAATAGTTTCCTAAAGATAGTAGCATTAGAAAAGTCAAACTAGAGATGCTCTGTTATATTRTGGCATGGGTGGATCAGTGATAATTATGGTTGGATATCACGAAGATGTTCCAAACCTGTGGAGAAAATAAGTATAAATTTCTACCACCTAAATGAGATTTTGGTAAATATTAATTTAAACTTTTAAGTGTCCTCTAAACATCTGTTTTTATGGCAATAAAATGAAGTTTGATGGTTTCTGTAAAAGCCATAGACTTGAATATAGATCACTAGACTGAGCCCCGCCCGTCCCGTCCACTGGTAGCGTCTGTGACAGCATGGAGGAGCAGAAATGTTGTCCAAAAAGGGCAACAACTCACTGCCTCCATAGAAATTAATAGATTAACAGCAAGCTGAACCTGATCTGTTTCACAGATTATTGGTCATGTTTTACAATAAATTAATAATTATGTTAAGTTCATTCAACAATCATGTAAAACAGCAGATTTATACCAGAAAAATATATAATTTGTAAATAACAATGATCTAAACCAGACCTGAAGTCAGCCTGTAACTTAGACTTTAGCTAGTTGAAAAATGATGACTTCAGCTAGTAATAAAGTATATTTTTTATTTCTTCTCACTGTCATAAAAAATAATATTTATATTTACCAGTCAACAGTTAGAAAATGTTCACTGGTTTTAGGATGAAACTTGTCTCTATTAGCTAACCATCAACAGGTCAGGTTCCTCTAACAGGAACCTAAAAATACTCGTATTATTTTACACTCGGTAGGTCTAAACATTAGACATTTCTAATATTATTTTACACTCTGTAGGTCTAAATATTAATCAGAGGACAAAGTAATACTGTATTTAATAGTTTGTGTTAAATTGTAGCATGATTCAACAGTGCTAAACTCTATATATATGCTCCACAAGCCCATATCTGCTAACCAGTTCAATAAACAGTGATTACATCGACTTTAAGATTATTTTAATTTTAAAAACTGTTACATTATGTTCTGCTCCGATCACATTGAGCTAAATAAGATCAAATCTGCTGACTTGTGTGGTGAAATGAGATGTTTTCCTGTTTTATCTTCTGTTAATAAATCCATTATACAAACAGATTTTCTGACATTATTTAAAACAGATTGATTATATAAACTAAAATATTAATAATTGGGTTAATATTATTAATAGTTTTTATGATTTCTACATCAATCCTCTTTTTCTGCTCTGTTGTCAACATGTACAGTAATAATAAATCCAGACTCTTGACCGTTTTGCGTTAGCCGTTAGCTTCACCAGCCGAACACACGGTGATGTGGTTTCTGTGCACTCCAGCTCTTCTACATAAACTCCTTGGTTAAAGCTGAAAAAAGACATAATCTCAATATAACCTTAACCTTGTTGCCCATGTTCATCATGTCCGATGTCTTCAGACAGCTGAGATGGACTTGCGACAGGTCCAGGATGTACCCCATCTTTTACACTGAAGATGTGTACCAGCTGTCCCATGAACCAGARGGAAAAAGCAGAYAAAGAAAATGCATGGATGGATGGACATATCTACAGTTAACTTCCCTTCCCACCAGATGATGATCCTYTGCCATGCTCCATGACTTGTAAGAAGCAAACTGGATTGCAGCATATTTGGAAAACCTCTTTCAGTGAAGGCAATCATGCGACACTCACTTGTCAAACAGCGGCATTTTCTGTATTCCTGAGATTATCTCTTCTGCACCCATCCTGGCAMAAGCCTCTTAAGTTCACATAAGGATGCAGCTACATGCWAGAAGATTTTCAAGGTAGCAGTAGCACATTGCTACTACCACAGTTAAGAGTCAGATTGTTTCRATGACCTTGTGACAGACACATTCGTAGCTTGAGAATGGCCGATCAGGCTTATATTTATCAATGAGCAAATCACATGGGCCTCCACATCATGATACAGCTTAGCTGTGTTCATATCATCAMTAATATCAGGTCCACAGAGTTCTTATGCACCTGAAGACCTTGACRAGAGCCTGCAAAGATCATCCATGTTCTGGTTCATTTTTCATGTCTAAGCATCGTCATCCAACGTGAAAGTGGCTCTAGGCACAGGTGGACTCAAGCCAGGTTGTAGAAGAATCTTGCAAACCTTAAAAGAATCCATCACAGCTGTCCAATAAAAGGGTGGGGCTAGAATGTATTTTTACAACAATTTTCAAAATTCGTTTTTAAGCTCAACTAAATGCAGAAAGCCTGAGAACTTGTGCAAACACGTTACACGTACCTTCGGATATACACATCCAACCTGCTCCAGCTTGTTGAGTCAGGTGGACCCATTTTACTGCTGTCGCTTCTCATGCATCCTGCAATCTCTTAATGCACTCAGTGCAATTCCCTGGGAGCAGCTCAGGCAGCCGAGCCACCAACTTTAAACAAACCCACACAAGGTCKAGACGTGACCCTCGTATGCAGCGATATGACGCATTAATGCAGGATACTGGCAGTGCTACCTAAAGAGGATGTACAGAAGACAGACTGGAATAATCCTGCATCGATGTCTCCTGGATTTGTGTGTGTGTGTGTGTGTGTGTATAGTGCTGAAGTACAGAGGATTGTGGGGGTGGAAGGGGATGAGGAAAAAGTCTGCCAATTTAAGGACGAGAAGGTAGAGGAGCAGACAAGAAGATAAGGAGATTGGGGCACATATACAGAGAGCTGGAAGCCAGGCAACGTTTAGGTAGATAATGAAGAGGACCTACGTCAGAGGCTGAGGAAGTATAGTCTGTCCAGTTCTTTATTCCATCTGTGGTGCTAAATAAGAGCCCGAGACGGAAGAGGAGGCAAAAGGGAGCACATGTGCAAAAGGAAAGAAAGCTGGGGCATCTGGTTCCATTAAGGCCTCGGAACATTCCTTCCTTGTGTTCGGCTCTGGCTGGCAGATTTTAAAGGGACACATTTGCTCTCACATCTTGCTCCGGACTTTGCCCTCTCTCTTGAAGTTCAGTTTATAGCTGCTGAGGGTCACAGGCAGGATGTGTTTGTCTTTATACAAGTGGTTCCTTAGCATGAAACTTTTAATGAGAAAGTGTTTTAAATATTTTTAAAAATTAATACAGCACAAGTTTCAAGGCCTCCAAATCAATAAGCCAAAAACAAAAAAAGCTTTTCCCTCTCTCAAAATGTATCTGTAATGATGAAAGTGAYGGGTTTGTTTCAACGCAAAGGAAAATTGCATAAACAAATTTTGGCTAACGAATTAGTTCAATTTTTCCCTTAAATTTTCAAAAAGGATTAATCTCTCATGACAGAAATGAGGAAAAAGCAGCACCTTAATGCAACTGTAGGATGATGCAAACTAAGTGAAACTTACAATTGAGCTAATATTGTGCAACATTACAGGAACACATCATTAAACTAAAAAATAAAAAATAAAAAAAAAACCTGAACTGCACCACAAGCATAAAAACTAAGCCAGTATGACAGACGGCTCCCCTGATGCAATGCTGTCGTTACATGATACAGCAGGTGTCATGGTGTGAATCTCAACACATGAACATGCTGCATAAGTGACATGGTTCTCAAGCTCAGCCGGGGACTCCACCCATTATTTCATCCGGTCGTTATCCCCGTGTCACTCTTGGGAAGGAAACAAGGTTTTCGGTGGAAGGGAATAGCCAACCACAACAGTTCTTCAGCTGGCAGCTTTAGCTGGTAAAGAAGAACATAAAGCTTGCCAGTGAAGAACTGCTGTAGGTCAGCCAATGAGCTGATCCATCAAGAAATGTCCACAGATGAAAAGAAACATTTGCCAGTTTACATTTAAAAATATGAATTGGTATGTTGTCTTCAGCGAACCACCATACATAAAGTATGCATTTTTCTTTACATTCACTACTACTCACTTTTCAGCTGTCAACCAAAGAGTTTTCATTTTACATGTTGATTTAATTCTAATAATAACTCAAATAAGTGAAAACCGTTATTGGCTTTGTAGATTGCACACAAGTATTTCGCTTTAGTTTGTGCTTTTCTGGCAGTTTTGCAGGATTCTTAGACATTTCATATTCTCTGTTCCGTGTGGGATTTGCCAATGAAAATGTAAGAGTTAAACTGCTTGGACTAAATGCAATTTAAATATAGAAAYWTTACAGCTGCCTGTAGACAAAATGTTAAAACTTGTAACCAACTCCAAATCAAACCTCAAAGTTGTTGAGTCCATAGCGTTGACCCCTTAAAGACAAATGTTTGGGACATTTTTTAAACTGAATTCTTGGCAGATGGAGCCAGTATCTAGCAACTGTTACATGCTCCATCTTAAGACGCTTTCGTGTTGGCTTCAGCTTTTGGCCGTAGCTGTTGCTGCTTGGCACAGAGAGGCCCAACAGGCTGCTTCCTTCTTCGCCATCTTCTAAAGTAAATCTCTTGGGAGAAAAGGTGAGAGAGAGAGAGAGAAAAAAAGTTACAAAATATGAAAACCCTTACATTCTTTTGTCTATTTTTACACAATACTGAAATTTACAGTACGTTTAAATGTGCATGAAGGCATAAAGGAAGAGGTTGACAGTAGAAAACTGGCCTGCATCAAGAATGCCAGCTTTCGGTTTAAACAGTCCTTCGGCTTTCACTCTAATTGAAGACAGAAGTATTCGCTAGCTTAGATTAGATAGGCCGGCCTCTGCTTACAGCTTGGAACTCCTGATAGAAAACAGCTCCTGTCCTTTGGGGAAGTTCAGTTTACAGCCGTCATGAAGGGTTGAATGTAAGAGTTTTCTTTTCGGTTTAGACACTTCTACTCCCTTGGGTGTGTGGCAGTTTCACMAACATGTCAAGTATCTTCTCATTTCACCTCGGCAAAAACCACATGAATCTGGATAGATGTTTTCAAGAAATTATGCCAGAAGGATAAGAGATCTCAGGATTTGGAATTTCAGAGATTAAAAGTGACAAGAAAAGACACTTTTTTCCTCTTTTCCCCCTCAGTGTGCCACTTTAACATGCCCTTTTAGCTGGCCACTGTAATACTTCTGGGTCGTCCAGGATTCGTCTTGACTGGCTTCTGTTCAGCTGGCCTGACTTCAACTATTGCAGTCAGTCTGTCTGAAAAGCTTTTCCCTAGCAGCATTTTCTTTCACAGTTCAAGGACGGGACTTTAGGCGAACCAGCTCTCGGCAGCACAGCGAACTCGGCAACCCCTAGAAACTCAGCGAACCCTGCTCTGAGTAACGCTGAAAAGCTCTGGACTGCAAACACACACACACACACACACACACACACACTGGTGTTCCAGTGAGACTAGTTTGAGAAAAAATTCTGAATGGGCTCTTGGTCTTGATCCGGTTCTGAATCCAGAGGGATCCATTGTGAGTGTGTAATATTGGAAATGAGATCTGGGGCAAAGGCTCCTTATTTGTAGGTATTGAGTTAAGTTACCAAAAGGCACCCGTTAGCACCACTGGCCTTAATTGTTAGTGGGATGATAAAACATGTCTATAGATTAAAAAGGCAGGATTTGATTAAATGCTGCGGTTCTGAAGATCAAAACAGGATAGATTAGAAGAAAAAAAAAAATAATGCAACAATGTCTTCATGTAAAAATTAAATCTTAAATTTAGTACAAAAAATATTTGCTGAACAAATTAAGAGTGAAACGGTGGAAGTATTTGATTCATCCAACTCACCTTCGCATCAGCCTGCTACGCTGCTGCATACATGTGTTTCACATTAAAATTCCAATTAAGAACCGAAGAGTTTCAACTCTAAGTTTCAGAAAGGATTTCGATTTGACAGTACAGGAAGTCTCGAGTCAGTAACTGTTTAACTTTAATCCCTCATTCACACATCTGTAATGTCTGGACTCTGAGAAAGTTAAATAGAACCCAGGTCTCTGGGATTATAAACTCTGCATTCAGTTTTGTATTTTGTGCTTTTGGGTTGGCAAACTGCGTCTGCGAGTAATGAAAAACTGTTCATTAAAGCCGACCGGATTCTTCCCTTTCAGGATCAACAGTTTCTAGATAGAAGCAGTGTGAAATCCAAAATTAACACCTTGCAGTCTTAGAAAATGTGAGCAATAAGCTAATTAAGTGAAATTAGCGTTAGCATTGTGCCAGAGATTTAAAGCTCTTACATGATCTGTTAGTGCTCCAAGTAGGTGATGGGAATGACTCAGCTACTTTCACATTAAACTTTAACTCAATAGCCATAAAAATGGCTGACTTGGAGCAACTTTAGTGTTTTCTAAAGTTGATGAGCTGTGGAGGCCATCTTGAAACAGCTCGTCTTAAAATAATAATAAAAAAAAACAGTTAAAGATGGACACTCAGGTTATGGGTTTTATCAAAATTCATCCACTGGTTTACAAGATATTTTTGTACAGAGACACTTATGCAATTGCACGATTGCCCAGCTTTCAAAGTAACAGGCAACAACAAAACACGCAGTTTGGATCTGACTGACAGTGTTTACATGCAGATGTCTTGAATCAGAACCTTAGAAACTATTTTCCAAGTGAAATATCATAGGACCCTGATGTCATGCTAATTGTTAGCTGTTGTATCGAAACACGAGCTAAAAGTGATTTATCTTAAATACCCTGAAAAGGTAAACTCAACATAAAACAGGATGTATTTTTATGAAAGAAGCTAAATTTTACTTTTAAAAGACAAATAAAGTGAATAGAAAATTTGACCGTTGCTTAAAAATGGTAGTTTGATGTAACAAGGATTTTAGACTGGCAAATATACTTTACATGAAACATTAAACAGAAAAGTAATGTGATAGGAGTAGAAAAGAATTAAATAGACTGAACTACAGGTCAGATGTCTACTACTGCTACAAGCAAAAAAGGACTGGCAATGACCACAAAATAACAGATGCTGTGTTTCCCCTGTGGCATCACAGAAATCCTGCAACTTGTCAGTTTAGATTAAAGCTCAAGTAAAGGAAAAACATTAAAAAAAATATTTAATTTAGGGTTATAAAATTAACTTAGAAGAAACTTTTACTCTAAAACCGGCAAAAATGTATTTTTTTAAAACAAGGCATTAAAATCCAACTCAGCACAAACTTAAGTCATGAAAAATCATTTTAAACTTTTGGCAAGCAAAAACAAAGCCTGCTGTGAAAGATGTGTCCTGTTAAAATGTACTTTTCAACCCCTATTATTTCTTAACTATGCTCTCACTCCGCTCCCGTTATGTTAGGTATGCACAYAACACGTACACTGAGGCCATCCCAGAGAGGAGAACACAGTGTACCACAGCACTGATTTACTACACAGAGCTGATGACTCCCATGACAATCACAGCCAGCCTAAGCAACAGGCTGAAAACAGCTTCATGTACAAGACGCACACAGCGAATGTGTCTTAATGATCTGGACACGGTTTGCTGTGWGCAAGTCATAAGTTAAGTCCTGGAGGACGTGACCAGCTATTTTCAAATTAAGTCATTAGTCTGAAGTTAGAAATCTCTTGTGTGCATTTKATTTCACCACGCAGTCTCAGGAAAGCCTAAAAACAGTTCTGCAAAACAAAAACCAGTACAGCAGAGTGATGCTGAGTGGGGATGGAATCATTGTTAACGCAGTGTTTAGATGAGTGCAAAACCTAAACCTAAACATGTGCAGGGTGAAGTACAACATGACCTGGAAGGTTTGAAATGATGAAGCTCACCCACAGACATACAAGGTGCTCCCTTGGAGGAGCAAACAAAAGCTCACTGCAACGCAATTCCTCTGGGGTCAGTTTGGGATTTATMGTTTCTCCTAGTCGAGTTGACATTAGCAACTCTTTAAGCAAAAGGAGTTTTATAAACAGATTAAATCTAGGAGTATCTGCAAGTATAATCTCTGATWTTGGCTTATTTTGCAAAAAAAGACTGGATTGCAGAATCAGAAGCCCCTATATCAGCCACCTTTAATGGTTTAAGATATGTTGATTAATGTCAGAGTTGTAGCAGTTTTAGTCAAACCATGAGTGAGTCAGTGCATGTTCTGAATAACTTAGCTAATACATCAACTTTTCTCTTAAAATCCATTAAGAACTGACTGTTTTTAAGTTATTTATATTTTTAATTATTTTTAATATTTTAAATTTTTAATGCTTTTTATAGCATTTTAAGGCTATGGCAGCAATCTTAAGTTGTACTATTGCCAAATATTGATCTGTTCTAGATGTATAAATATATACAAACAGGAATAAAAAAAGCATGATGTTTATTTGAGATAAGTTGCTACATAAAAATAAAATATTCATACGATGTGCTTTTCTAACAAAAGTATACCATAGCTGTAAAATATATAGAAAGATTAATAATTTTGCTCCTTTCTAAAAGATTAATAAYTAGATTTTACAAAACACCAACAAGCATAATATTTCTTAGCTGCAGTTATTTTCTTTTGAAAGCTAAAGACTTTGCAGAACAAATGTTTGCTTTGTAACAGCAAACTTACAAAACACCAGAAGTTATTTCACAGCCAAAGTAGGTCTACTTATTGCACAACCCAAAGTACACACTGTCCTGCATTAAACATTCTCCAATGCCACACACACAGTGTAGGAATACAGTACTAGAAACCAGTTATTGCCATAATATATAACTGGTTTTATATATTTTTTGTAATCTGCAAAATTAACAACCTGCAGCTGAATGAACCCTGAGTTTTAAAATGATTCTTTTGAATATAGKATACAAAGAAGAAAATAGAACACTGTTATAAGACACACACAAAAATCCCTATTTGTTATAAAAGTTTTAAACTATGTAAACAAAATTTATTGATACTACCAAGCAATCTGCAAGGTACGTCCTCTGCTAAATTCAAGGCCGGCACCGCTGCCTCTAGCATCACAAGAAAAGCAATTCCCAAAGTTTGACAGGTTCTGTCACCCAGCCTGCAGACATACAGTATATCCTGACAAATGAGTCTTTAAAAAAAAAAACTGCATCCCTCAGTGTGCACTCTCTGCATGTTCACACACATTAGTTGGATCAGCGATTTTAATTGTATTTGCCACAAACTACAACTGATCATTTTCAAGTACACACAGATCAATTTATCAGTCAGTGCTTCGCACATTTGCAAATAAATAAATAAATAAATAAATAAATAAAAAAATCAAGAATAACTTAGGAGAAATAAAACTAAATATGCACACATACACACAGCTGTGGTGCAATTCTAGTGTGCAAATAACAGCACCTTGTCAGAGCACGTTTATCATTCATGCAGCTGGCTTCTCGATTTATTCAGGAAAGAGTAAACAATCTGAAAGTGACCGGAACCCATTACTGTGATTATGTGAAAAGGTTTAATGTGTGTGGATGAGGTGTGCGAGTGATCAAACACATGCGTGAATATAATGTGGTTTAGATGTGAAGAGGTTTATAATGTTTTAAAGGACTTGTGACCACCTCTTTST